TGGTGCCACTAATGGCAATAGGAAAGTTTGGAGGTGATTGGGTTTAGGGGGTAGGTTACTTCCATTTTGGACACGTTGAATTTTAGATATCTATGGAACATTCAGGTGAAGATATCCAGCAGGGAATTGGTGATGGGAGGCTAGAGCTTAGGAAAGAGATAAGGCCTGGATTTTTAGACTTTGGAGTAAATGTGTAGATTTTCTCCTATGGAAATGTGATATTTGAATCCATAGGAAGCAGATGAGACCTCCAAGAATGAATGAAAAAGCATTTATTAAGTACTTACTGTTTGCTAAATAATATGCTCCAAGAATGAGTTAATAAATGAGTGAATGAATAAAAAGCACTGCAGTGCTATGTGCCAAGCACTGTCCTCCAAGAATAAATGAAAAGCGTTAAGTGCGTACTATGTGCCAAGCACCATGCTCCAAGAATGACGAATGATTGAATGAATGAAAAGCATTTATTAAGTGTTTACTATGTACCAAGCACTGTAATAAGTGCAGGGAATACAAATGTAAGACAGTCCTTGCCCTTAAGAAGCTTGTATTTTAATGGGGGAAAGTAGTAGTAGACAGAAAGGGAATTAGAGTCTGGGAAGTCTAAAACAGTGAGGGGAGCAATAAAGTACATTAACATACCTCTCCCCAGAGACTAATGGTAATTGTAATTTGATTACAGTTCTCAGAGAAAGAGGTGGGAAGGAGTAGGGGAACGGGAAGGGACCGAGGGTGCTTCAGTATCAAAAGGAAAGATGGTTCCAGAGAGTGACTTAGTTCCTTCCAGGCCTAGCCTCTGGTGACCTGATTTGGAGAGTGGAGCAACAGGAGCAGAGAGGTAGAGGGAAAACCTGTGTGAGTTCATTGTTTGTCCTTCATTCTCGAAGAGGACCATGACATCAGGAAGGTGATGTCGTGATTTGCAAGTGAATTGGATTTAAGTGAAGGAGGGCTGTGCAAAGTCACCAGCCTCACTTTATCCTCCGGAGCCATCTGGATCCTATAGATCAGGACGACTGGAGATGGCTCAGGATGAAGTGGGAGATCTTGTTTTTTAAGCTAGGTCTCACTTTGACCAAGGCAACACCCATTTAGTGATTGAGGCTAAGTAAGAAAGGAGGCAAAGAATGGCCTATTTTACCTGGTCAAAAAACAAATAAAAACAAAATCAATCTGGGAGGGGAAGACCTTGAGGGTTTCTGGCTAAAGCAGAAATAATTGATATTTACACTCACTCAGAGACATCATAGCCCAAACAATGCCCAAGTGAGGTTTGGTCTAGGACCTATTGTTGGCCAATCAATGAGAGCCAGAGTGACTTGGGTTTAAGGCATGGCCCTTAGAAAAGAAATCTAGCCCACAAATCCCAAGATATCTTTAGAGGTTTCAGTGATCAAAATTTATATTACTTTGGGCAGAGTATGGGGGGGGGCGGGGTAAGGGTATTATTCCTATGTGGACACAGGGAGAGGAGAGAGGGAAGGAAGGAAGAAACTGCTTTGCCCAATCGGAACTGTCCAGTTGGGTTGCTAGTGGGGCAGTTACTGTGACTCACAGATAATTGTCCTTAATTCTTGAAGAGGACCATGACATCAAGAAGGTGATGCCATGACATGCCAAGTGAATTGGATATAAGTGAAGGAGGGCTGTGCAAAGTCACCAGCCTCACTCTCTCCTCTGGAGTCATCTGGGTCCAGTGGCAAGGTATAGATCAGGACAACTGGAGATGGTTCCCAACCTTTGCAGATAGAAAGGAAAGAGAAGAAGGCTTAGGAGAGGCTTGGGTGATGATTCAGCAAAGGAGACTGAAAAGAAACAGCCAGGAGGAGAACCAGGAGAGGGCAGTGTCCAGAAAACCCAGCAATGAGAGAGGATTCAGGATGAAGGTGTTGTCAAATGGTGTAGAGAAGTCAAAAAGGTTAAGAATTGGGAAAAGGCCATTGGATTTAGCAATTAAGAAGTGATTGGGAACTTTGAAATAACAGGTTCAATTGAGTGATAGGTTTTGAAGTCATTGCGAGGGGATGAAAAGGAAATAGGTGAGGAAGTGAAGTCAGTGAATAGAGATAGCCATTCTAAAAAAAAGTTTTAAAATTATTCAGTTTGGTTGTGAGCTGGATAATAACTTGAGGGGATGGCAGTTTCAGATGAAGATTTTTTATGAATGCTTTTTTATTTTTTATGAGTGAGTTTGTAAGCAGCAGAGAAAAAGCTAGTGGAACAAAAAGATTAGAGAGGATAGGCAGCATGTCCCACAAATCTTAGTGCAGTTAAGCTTTAATGTCTTCAGAAATATAAATGCTATTAGCTTACAAAAAACAACATTTGAAAGGCTAAATATTTTTAACATTTTAAAATATTGATTTGTTTTTATCAATTTTTAAACTTTGAAAAAATTTTTATCAGCTGCTACTCAGTAATTGAAAGGATTGCATTTGTAATCATCACCTTAAGATTATCTAAAGAATGAGGTTTTGATGTATATATGACAATTTTGACATGACCCTCACAAGAAAAAGTCTAATGCAAATAGATTATGTGACTGAGGTAGGCTGATCCGAAGGCCTGAGAAGGTCTCATCCGGAAACTCTCACATTCAATGTATAATGACAGGGTACCCAATCTTGTTAAAATGAAAAATATTATTCAAAATTTGCAAAACTAAGAGCAAAAGAAATAAACTTTCAAATGATTTGTTGGTAAGTTTGTAGCATTTATACTTCTAAAGTTATTAAAACTTAAAACTGCACTAAGGTTTTGAGGACATCTTTTTAGATAAACTTCAAAATAATAAGAATGACATTTTATTTGCTTTTGTGACCCTTTCCCACCTCTCACATGTCTGAATACTTATCAGATGGTATTGCTGTTTTTAAAAGTAGTGTGCATATTGTACTAATTCTGCTATCCTTATTTTGTATAATTTACTTGTGTCTTTCCATATTTTTTATGCTTATAGTTATGTTTTCCTAATGCTAAAATATTCTATTACTTGGAAAGACTGGAATTTTTCTGCTATTCCCAAATCCTTTATGTTATGTGTTCTTTCAAGTTTTTTTCAAATTTTGAATTTTAAAGCTACTATAAATATTTTTGTAGACATATATCTTTTTCTTCTCTTTTAATAATATCCCTAGAATATAGTCCTGGTAGTGGGGTCAACTGGGTCAAAGGCAGGAGGAGTTTTCACTGATAGGTTGCTCTACAAAATCTTGTACCAATTCACACAAAGTAATTCATAAGCCTGTTTCCCCACTGACCCACTAGCATGGACATTGAATCTTTTTATATCTTTACAATTTGAAGAATGTGGATTGAGTTGTTTTAATCTGGCGAATCAGGGCACTGGAAAGAACACTGAATTTGAGAGCCAGAGAAACTAGATACACATGATGTCTCCACTACTTATTATCTATGTAACCTTGAAAAAATTAAATTCTCTGGGCCTCAGTTTCCTGTAAAGTATAAAGGTTGGATTAGATAAATCATCCAGATGTAAGTCTTTGATATGTGAATGTTCTAGAAAAGAAACAGCCCTTTCTAGTAACCTAGAGTTGGGCACTTCTCCTTTGCCCTCCCTAGGCTGGCCTTAACTCAGGTAAAATAGCTAGTAGCCCACAAGGTGGGTTTGAAGGCTACTGAAAGCTCCAAACTCCATTGTCAGGGTGTCTTAAATTGGGTAGAACCTCCCAGGTTGGGCATTGTTTCCAAAGTGTCACCACTTTAGAGACAGCCAGGTATGGTACAAAGAGCCCAGGAGACCTGGGATTGGTGGTGGCAATGTCTGGGGACTGAGTATTGGGGAGGAGAGTAATGGGGGTGAGAGGGAGCCAAGTATCCATCGAGTCACCCCCCTCAGAGTTATCCTCCATACTTCTCCCTCCTTTTATTCAATCAGCCCCAGTTTTAAACACTAGCTGTGAGACCCTGAGCTAAGTGACCTCCCCTCTCTAAGCTTCAATTCTTCTGTCTGTATACTGGAATAATTGTGGTGTAGACACAGGGGCTCTTAACTTGGGATCGCTTGACTTGTTTTTCTTAGTATTTTGATAATCGGATTGGTTTTCTTTGTAATCCTTTGTATTTATTTTATACAATTAAAAAAAAAGCCAAATATTTTTCTGAGGTGCCCATGGCTTTGTCCATGTCTATGTCCATGTCCATGTCCAAGTGTCCACACTACCAAAAGGCTCCATGACACAAAAAGGTTAAGAGGATATAGAGCTGGCCCCAGAGCCCCGTAGGCACAGGTTTAAGTCCCATCTTCTTCTGGGCAAGGCACAATCTCTCCAAGCTCCCTGTAACTATAAAGCACAGAGAAGGGGCTGAATTGCATTGGTGGAGAGAGTTTCCTCCCCCGGGAGGTCCCCTCATCTCTATTCAAACACTCATTAAGCGCCTACTACGTGCTAAGCATTAAATAATCCCATTTAAAAAAAGCCTAAGGTGTCTTTCTCGGGTGGCCTGTGTGGCAGTGGGCCGGGGAGCAGGTCTGGTTCGGTTTTGGGGGGCTGACTGGGTGGAAACTGGGGGCGCGGCTTCCCTTGAGTGCGATGGCTGGTGCTTTGTCGCCACCTGGCGGCCACGCGGAGGAATGACGCCGAAGGGGAGGACGCCGGGGAGAGGGGCACGGACTCCTTCTTCCTGGCCCCCGAGCTCCTCCCCCGGATTCACGCCACGCTCACGCTCGGGCCTCAGTTTCCCTTTCTCAACGCAGTAAGGGAATCTTGAGTGGACCGGGAGATGAAGTTATCTCCGTCCCCCCACCACCTCCGTCGCCCCTCCCCTCCCCTCCTGCGGAGGGGGCGTGACCACGCGCATCCAGGGGCGTGCCCTCCTCGTGTGGGCGTGGTCTCAGACTCACGCCCCACCCCTCCGTCTCCCCTCCCGCGGAGGGGGCGTGCCCTCCTTGGGTGGGCGTGGCCCCGGCGAACGCCCCACCCCTCCCGCTCGCCCATCGCCGCGTTGCCGCGCCGCCGTGCGCGCGCCCGGCCCGTCGCTCAGCCATCTTGATTCCCCAGCGTGAGAGGTCCCTGGCGGCGGGAGGTGGCGGAGGTGAGAACTGGCTTAGGGGCTGGGGGAATGGGAGGGGGCGGGCACTCTTAGAGCCCCCCGCCAGGGCGCCCTCTTGGAGGTTCCTGGTCGAGAAAGGCACCTGGCTAGAAACGCTTAGAGATCCCAGCCCGGGGAAAGTGGGCCCAGTGCCGGAGACGCTTAGAGATCCCGGGGGTGGGCGGGGACAAAGACCGCTTAGAGATCCCGAGGGGCCCAGCCGGAGGGTGGGCTGCACAGCCTGGCAGTACCCTCGGACCGTTCCGGATAGCAGGGGAGGAGTGTTGGGGGAAGAAAGGAAGAGTGCGGATAATCCGCAGGGGGGGCGTGGGGTCGTGACCCCCTCCAAGCTTCTCTGTCCTTTCAGACACGTGGAGACATCTGCACGGAGCGGGGGGAGGGGCCCGCGCTGCGGGGCAGGCTGGCCCGGGGTTTCCTTGTTGAGGGTTCTCGAGGTGAGGTGGCACTTGAGCCGGGCCTTGAACGATGGAAAAGACGTAGGAGGTGGGGGTAGGAGGGAGGTGGGGGCAGGAGGGAGGTGGAGGGAGGTGGGGGCAGGAGGGAGGTGGGGGCAGGAGGGAGGGCAGCACCAGCAGTTAGTCCGGGAACAGTGAGAGCAAAGGCTTGGCCAAGAGACGGGGATGTACTGAACTTGCTGGGAGCGTGGTATCCGAGGTTTAGCGCTGGAAAGGATCCCGGCCACGTCTCCATTGCCCAGACTCCAGAGTCAGGAAGCCCTGAACTCAAATCCCAGCCTCGGACACTCAACTGGCTGCTGTGTGACTCTGGGCTGGTCACTTTCCCTTTGCCTCGGTTTTCTCATCTGTAAAATGGGAATAATAATAGCACCCACCTCATAGGGTTGTTGTAAGGATGAAATCAGATAAATTAATTTGTAAAACCCCTGCTACATAGTAGGTCACTTAATATATGCTTATTTCCTTCCTTCATTTATGAATGAAGAAACTGAGGCCACATAGAGAGGTGAAATGACTTTGTTGGGGTCATAGAGATGGCAAGCTGTGGTTCAAACCTAGGTACTCTGACTTCAGATCCACTTTGTGTTGGAGGTGGGGAGGTGCAGGGAGGCTAGAGAGTAGGCTTGGAATTGAAGCAGAGAGGGCATTAGTGACCAAGTTGTAATAAGTATTTTAGGAACCAAAGTCACTTTGTTCATTTAGAAATAATTGCTTTGGTAATAGTCCACATTTCTTTTTTTGCTACCTTTGTTTTTATATCACCCACATCCCCAGTATTCCCCCTCCCCCTCAAAGAGAGCCATGCCTTACAACAGAAAAGAAAAAACAGTCCCTGTAAACCCAGTCCATGTATTTAAAAAAAAAATTGACATTGTGTTCAGTGTTCTGCTTCTGTATTTCCTCTCCTCTGCAAAAAGGGGAAAGGTGCCTTCTCATATCTCTTTCTCTGGGGCTAAGCTTGGTCTGTAGTTCATATTTCTTATTTGGTTTTAAGGTTTCCAAAAAGCACTTTGCTCACTTCAACCCTGTGAGAGTGGTTGTGCAAGTATGTTATCCCTATTTTGCGATGGGGAAACTGAGGCTTTGGCAATTTAAGTGTCTTCACCGATGGTCACACACCTAGTGTCTTCCTCACAAAATTATGTTTAGCAAATTAGAGATATGTTTGCCGGGTTTAAAAAAAATGAGAGGAGGCAAACTTAAAATTTTTTAAAGTTCCTTTTTAATAAGTGTTTTCCTTTGTTTTGTTTTAATAATAGCATTTATATAGTGCTGTAAGGTTTGCAGAGTATTTTACATATATTATCCTGTTTGATCCTTATCGTTGTTTTACAGATGAAACTAAAACCCAGAAAGGTTGAGTGACTTGCCCAGGGTCACACAACTAGTAATTGTCTGAGCCAGGATTTGAATGGAGGGCTCTATAACTCCAAGTCCAGCACTCTATCACACCATGCTTCATCTACACAGAGTTTTAAGTATCCCTGCCTCTAATTATATAGATATTGGGGAGTTATCCATTGCAAGTTCTTGAGAAGGCAGTGACATCTTTTGTTAGCCCATAGTCTTAAGGGCTTACAGTCAGTGGACTTTTCCTTTAGGATCAGGTGACATTGCCCCTTTCTTCAGGGACACTTCTTATAGGGAGAGAACCCTTAATCTGGGAGTATTCTGTGCCTTCTTTCTGAAACAGGTACTTTGGACTTGGCCCCTGGGTACTATGCACTCACCTCTCCCTCTTTAGGCACAGTGAAGGTCTCTGGACCGGCCATGGAGAATTACCAGAAGGCGAGCTCTGTAGAAAAACCACTGGTCCCCCCAGTGCCAGGTCTGCCTCCAGATACCTTGGAAATGCGGGTCCGGGATGGCAGCAAGATCCGTAACCTCCTGGGCTTTGCATTGGGCCGGCTGGAAAGCGAATCCACCCGGAGAATAGTGTTCACTGGTGCAGGCCGAGCCACAGGCAAAGCTGTGACCTGCGCAGAGATCCTGAAGCGCCGCCTGCCTGGCCTGCATCAGCTCACCAAACTGCACTTCCAACAGACAGAGGATGCCTGGGTCCCTGTAGTGCCCGAGGCTGGTCTGGACCCACTTACTGTACGCCGACATGTGCCAGCTGTGTGGCTTCTGCTCAGCAAGGACCCCTTGGACCCCAATGAGGGTGGCTACCAACCCCCAGGTGCTCCTCCTGGTCTGGGACAACCTTTAGCCCGGACCCCCCCACATACCCCTCAGCCCAAGAGGCGGGGGCCCCGGGTCTCAGGGCATTGGCAGGGAGGTGGAGGTGGGACCCGAGGAGAAACCTCCAGGAGGCCCTGACCCCCTGAGTGGAAAGGGGTTGGGAGCAGATTCTGAGGTGCTCCCCAGGAAGTGTAGGACAATATTGAAATCCCCAATGCTGGGGGGTTTTTTTTGGTCCAATGGCTCCAATCTCTGTCACATTGCTGTTCCCTCTCAAGTAACAGGTGGAAATGAACACGTGACTCAGGAGCAGACATGTTAATGGCTGCTCTGTGGCTCTGTGTTTGGTCAAAGACATTCTCAGCTCTTTCTCCCTCTCCCCATTCCCCTCCCTCAAGAGTGTTACCACCACTTTTATCAACTTCTTGCCACTATTAGATTCCTTGGACTGGAAATATAAAGTGGTTTTCCCAGGAAAGGAAGTGAGGAGTTGAGAATAAAAGTTACATTTATACTATCTATGAAACCCTTCTCTGTGCCCAGCTCTGTGTGTGTGTGTGTGTGTGTGTGTGTGTGTGTGTGTGTGTGTGTGTATATAAACCACAAGGTGCTACCCCTATTCCTAGTCCCTTAAAAAGACAAAAGTCACACAGGAAATGCTATGGAACTGTGTGATAAAGAGTGTGCCTGGGACTGTTTGAATATTGAGAGAATTGTGTGGCTGGGGTTGATTAGGACCAGCTTCAGGGAGGAAGTCAGGCTTGAAGTGGACCTGGAAGACTGGGTAGGAGGACTTCAGTAGGCCCAGAGGCGGGGTTAAAAAGCATATTATTAGATGGGCCAAAGAGGCAGAGGTGAAAATCAGTTGCACCTGTAAGGACTAGTACTGAGCTCAGGCTGTCCAGATTGGAGAAGGATATGTACAGAACAAAGGGTACAATGGGGAATGAGGCTAGAAAGGTGGGTTTGGGGGCTATACTGTGGAGGATTTTGAATGTCAAAGAGTTTGAACTGTATCCTGTAGGCAGTGGGGATTCATTGGAGACTAATGGAGAGATTTGAGAAGATTGAAAGCTGGGACTCAGTTCTGTGAGCATTTTGTGGGGTGGGGTTCTGAGTTGGCTTTTCTGAGAGTGGAATTGAGCTGTGTGGTACAGTGTAAAAAAACGTGATTGTCAGAGGACCAGAGTTCAAATCCCACTTCTGATGCTTATTACCTGTATGACCTTGGGCAACTCATTTAGCTTTCCTGGGCCTTAATTCCTCATCTGTAAAATGAGTGAGTTGGAAAGTGTGGCCTCTGAGGCCCTTTCCAGCTCAAAATCTGATTCTGTGATTAGTAATTGGCATTTCATTGTCTGGCCGGGAGCCAGGTGCACCTAAAACAGCCTCCCTCCCTATTGCCATACCTCAATCCCAGGGCTGCGGTAGTCAAAGCCTGACTTGTTGTTTTGGATTTGGCCACATGGTGGCAGCTCTGTCTAGGTGTGGTGAGGTTTCCAACTCATTAGTCAATAAGTTGTTAAGCACTTGCCTATCGTTTGTTCAGACCCGTGTACTAAGGAAACCCTGTGGAATTGGGGGGGGGGGGGGAATGAGAAGACAGCCTTCCTGTCCTCAGAGATCTTGGTCTAGGGAGGCAAGAGTTCTAGGAGCAATGAGAAAACAAAATCTAAATTGTTTGATCCTGGGAAAAGATGATGTGTGTTCCAGGATGAGAATATACACTCCTGATTCAAGTGCTTGGGAGGGTTGGGGGAGGGTAGGCTGGCATAGTCAGTGTGAACTGCAGCACTCCTGGAAGGCTTCATGGAGGAGATGTAACTTGATCTGGGCCTTGAAAGAAAGGGATCAATGTTAAGACTAAATTCTTTTTCTGCTGTGTA